GAATCTTGCGATATATGATGTTAAATTTTAGTATTCAAAATTTTTATATAATTAAAATATTTATGAATTTACGTTTACATACATATTTCAGCTTCCACCGATTCAAAGTAAATGAAATTTTAATATATTATTGATTGAGATTGTATTAAGATTATATGAAATTTTGAACTAATTCTGATCGGTGCATATTGAGATATACGATGTCAAACGTAGTGTCCGGAAACTTTTGGCTACCCTCTGTAGTAATAATGAATTTTCTTATAATGAAGGGCTGATCAGCCTGAACGCCAACTTCATTATATTGAGATGTAACTGTATACTATAGCCTAACTACCTTTCACCAGTATATAAAATCTAAGTTAAAATTTATGTGCACAAATTGATTAATTATTATTAAAATAAGAAAATCATAATATTTTCTTATGTAAAATTACCTTTTTTATACAGAATTTATCTATTTTTAGTAATAATTTATGCACATTTTATGTTGTGTAATATGTGTACATAAAAAATTAATGTGCGCATATGCACATTGTATATATAGATTTTACACACTGCCCTTCATACTGCTGAGGAAAAAATCCTGTGAGTAGGCTAATAGGATATTTAGACTATCATACTCTCTTCCTCAGAATGGTATCAGTCTACATTATTCATCACTCAAATAAATTCTCTTTTTACTTTGTTTAGAAATATCTTACCTCTAGTAAAATTTCGAGAAGAGTAGTATAGCGTGAAAAATCTCGATCATATTGATTCTTCACAAATGCAACAGCCCGCTCGATAACACTTTTTAGCTCATTTAAGATATTTAAGGATTGTTTTTAATTCTTTGATAGATAACAGACCTAGCGGTAATATTCTCTTTCTTAGCATTTAACAAGAAATTGTAAATTTTATTGTATAAATCGACAAGTATAGTAAAATAAAAGAAGTTATAATAATCATCACTCCAATATACTATTCTTTAAATGGCTCTATTTATGTTCTCTCTAGGCTTGTATTCATGTTGGGAAGAAGAGACAGAAGAATATGCAACAGACTTATGCTAAAATTTTGCATTAGAAAATAGGGATATGCGAAAATATGCATTGAAGATCTTGATATTTAGAAAAGCATTGGGAGTAATGCATATATAGATTTTTTTGTGTGTTCAGATTAGGATAGATTATTTCCTGCAGGTTTATGACTGAAGAAAGGAGAAAAATTCAAAATATTACTTTGTCATACAAGTAAATGGTTGCATTCGCATAAATGATTGGCAAGTGTATCATTATTACATCATACATGCATTTCACAAGCTTTAATGAAGATTAGAAATATGTTTATTTTTGTTACACATGCCTACATTATATATAAAGTCGAAATAAAAACCCAAAAGTTGAAATGTTTTGACTTTAGAGGTCAAAGTCAAAATAAAAAGTTGAAATGATCGAAATTACATCATATCACATGATTTTTATATATAGAAAAAATAAAGTAAACAAAAGATATACGATCTTGATCAATATTACTCTGATTTATATGAAATAACTACCATTAGATTCCTCACGACTAGATGAATCCAACGAGGTAATATTTATTGATTTTGGATTAGCCAATCTAGAGATATTTGTGATCGTATTTCGAAATCTGAACTTCTTTATTTAAAGTAGAATTTATTGATTCATAATTTCGGCCAATAATAATACAATTGCGATTATCTCGAAATTGGATAATCTGAAATCAATGAATGTTAGCTCATTAGATTTGTCTAGTCGCAGAAAATCGAATGGTAGTTGTTTTATATGAATCAAAATGATATTGACCGAGATTGTATTATTTTTTTTGTTTTTTGTATATAAAAATCATGTGATATAACGTCATTTCGACCATTTTGACTTTTACCTCTAATAGTTGAAATGATTTTGACCATTTCAACTATTTTGGATATCTGAAATGATCTATTTCGACTTCATGTATAGCCTATATGTATTAGCATAAGGCGCAAGCAAATATACTCTATAGCTAAGATAATATTTAGGAACTTATATTAAGAAAAAAATTCACGTAATTTTGCGAACAATATTCACTGAAATTTGCCAAAAAAAATATATGTGAATAAAGATATATATCAAGAAAATAATGGCCTATATTAAAATCATTTCTCAATCAACAATCGTGATTTTTACCAATTTCTTAATCTTAACGTAACACCTTTTGGCTGATTAAGATATTTTATAGATGATAGCAAGTTATTCTATTTTACATACTGAGATGAGATAAATATTTTGCTTGTGTTCTCTTTGGAGGCTGGTGATTGATCAGAAGTTGGTGAAACGATTTCTTGCTTAACAGGTAAAACATGAAATAGCTTAAAATTTGAAACACTAAGCATAGTATTTTTGCTATAGTTAATTTAGTCTGCACATAAGTTCTATAGCAATTTGTATGATTATCATATAATATCAATGCCAATTTATGCTTCTCTGAATGTGGAATAGATTGGAATAAAAGCTCCAGATGGAGACATTTTAGATTATTCTTTTCCTATAATATGATTCGTTTATAGTGCCAGATGATAAATTTCCTCTCTTTCTGTAATATGTATTGTTTATATTGCCAGATGATAAATTCCCTATCATTAATAAATTGAAGAATTTCTTTTCTTTTTGCACGTTCATTTGCAATAGTTTCTCTAGTAATACATGTCTTCAAGCGACTATCTTGATTGTAAGAAAATTCTAAAAATCTTTGAGGTATGAATATTAGGGAGTCACATATGCTACAATATATATAATTTGTTTCTATTCTGTTAGAATAAGACTCTTTACCACTTTTATACAACCTTTTGCATATACTAGTATAGGGTGAGTGCTAATCACAACAGAGGGCGAAATTATCCGGCTACATTTCAAAGTGAAAAAAAAATTGAATATAAATAATATTTTAATAAATAAAATTTTAAATAAATATATTTAAATTGACTTTATAACAAAAAAAAAAAAAAATTAAAATTTATTTGCGGTAATAATCACCTTAACATAATTTTCTTTAATATTAAATAGATGTATTGTTGGATAGACCACTTATTTGGAACTTGTTTTATCATAATTTTAAATAAATAAAAATGTGCTAATATGACGTAACGATCTGCATAATTTTGGCCAAACAAATTGGCCGGATAATTTTGATCGCCCTCTGTATTTGAAGAATTAGAACAGCTTCTATTACTTTTATTTTGCAAAATTTTTCCGATAGCATAGTGTAGCAGAAAGAGTATTTCTTGCAAATATTTTGATAAAGAACTTCATGAGATTAGTAATATAAAAAAATATAAATATAAAAAACAATCTTTGATCTTTCTTTATTAAGAATTCGATGAAAATTTTATGGAATTCTGTGCATATTTTGTGAATCTCAAAATTGTGGTATATGTTGAATTCCATAAATCATTGTCCCGAGGAATGATGGCACTTTGTTGATCTGACTAATATAATCACGTCTAATATAGAAGCAAAAAATGAGTCGTTTTTCTAAATAATAATTTCAAAGAATTCGGAATTACGATTAGGTTAGTAAAGTAGAAGAATGGTAGGATAAATAGACCGATATTTATAAATAATACTTTCAATGTTTGTTTTTTAAGGATATCAATTCTTTTATTATATTATATATTTTTTTTATTAAAAAATTCTTCAAGTTACTTATATAGTAGGTTAAGAAATTTGTGAACCAAAACATTTAAATTACAAAAATATAAATATATATTTTTTTGGTGGATTAATATAAATTTCAGGAGGATAGATGATATGTATTAATAAAATTATTGTCCGAAATTAGTTTTAAATATATCTTAAATATATTTTATTAATATCATTTTCAATAAATCCTACTTATTCAGACGGAGTCAAGTTGCTTGACAAGTTGGTTGGATCAAATCCTATAAAGTGAGAATTATTAGTCATGGTTATTTATATATTTCATAAATAATATTTATGTAAAGCGTACCTGGCATTGGAAAACTTGTAGAAAATGTTTCCACTTCATTCTTCAGATTGGATATGTCTTCATTATCTTGACATGCCAGCACAAAGTCTTTCATCATTTTACTACCTGCTTTTTCCTATTTTTTTTTTTTTTTTTTTTTTTAAAAAAAAAAAGACGGTTAAAATATATACGTGTCGAACAATAAAATGTTTCAAGATTTGTCGAACCTGAACTAAGATGGCAATTTGAACAGCACGATGTAAATATTCTGCAACTTTGACGAAATCTTGTTCCTTAAAACTCCTTGATGTCAATGCGGAAGTTCCAAGACGTACACCACCTGGTGCCAACATGTTGACATCACCAGGAATAGAATTTTTATTTATAGTGATGCTAAATCATAATCACGAATTAATCATAAAATTTAAGATCAAATATATATATATATATATAGAAAATTTATATACGTACTTAACCATATCACAAATCTTTTCTACCTTACTACCGGTAAGCTTAACGGGTCTCAAGTCCAAGAGAACCAGATGAGTGTCCGTACCACCAGTAACTAATTTATAACCATGACTGATAAGTGCTTCACCTAAAGCTTTGGCATTAGCACAAACCTGTTTAGCATATTGTTGGAATTCTGGGGAAGCAGCTTGTTTCAATGCAACTGCGATAGCAGAGATAGTATTATTGTGAGGTCCTCCTTGACATGAAGGGAACACGGCATTATTGACGCGAGTTTCCAAATCATTCTTTTTACGGAAAAAAATCATTCCCGCACGTGGTCCTCTCAGAGTCTTATGAGTAGTTGTTGTAACTACATCACATAATTCGAAGGGATTATTGACCTCTTTTCCAGCAACTAAACCACTGGTATGAGCAATATCAGCCATTAGATACGCGCCGTGTTGATCGGCGATCTTTCTCAATTTAGCGTAATCCCAGTCACGTGCGTACGCACTGGCTCCGCATATAATCAATTTTGGGCGAAAGAGATTAGCATTTTCCTCGAGGCGAACATAATCAATATATCCGTTTTCCGAGCTGACTTGATATGGCATAGATTCAAAATATATAGAAGAAGAAGATATCTTCTTTTTAGAGGTTTGCCAACCATGTGTTAAATGTCCTCCTGAAGGCAAGTCTAATCCCATTAAACGATCATGAGGCTGGATCAAAGCCGTCAAAGCCGCAAAATTAGCGGTACTTCCGGAATAAGGTTGAACATTAACACCCCATTCCTCGGAATTCAAATGAAAAGCCTGTAGAGCTCGTTTACGACAAAGATTCTCGATTTGATCAATGAACTCATTGCCACCATAATAACGAGCTCCAGGAAGACCTTCGGAGTATTTGTTTGTTAATGGAGACCCATTGGCTTCCATAACTGCCATGGAAGTAAAATTCTGGCAATCAAAATATAATCGGATTAGATAGAACATTATTGCGTATCAATTTTTATTTATTCGGAATATATCTTTTACATAAAAATAAATTGTTGGCTTATACCTCCGAAGCGATCAGTTCTAAGCCAGAATATTGTCTATATTTCTCCTTTTGAATTAAATCATAGATTTCTCTGTCTTCTTCTTGCAAAGGAACATTAAGGGAACTATTCTGTGACACGAAAAAGCGAGAATGTTAGTGAGGCAAACATACAAATTATGAAAACCTTTAAGAATATATATATTTCATAAAATACCCAAGCATCAACTTCATGAGACATTTTGATATATCAAATTTGGGATATAAATTTTTCTAAAAAAAAAAGAAATTTAGAAAAAAAAAATGGATAAAAAAAAAAATTTTTTTTTTTATTGAGATTAGATCAACTTCGCAAAAATTATGTGATTGGTTAATTTGATTTCATTTCCTCCGCCACGAGAAAATTATTGATCTAAATTTTTTTTTTTAGGAAAATTTTTTTTTCGTCTTGGCCCTTCGTAAATCTTTTTTATTTGTTTGATTTAATCCCGAAAAAAAATGGCACCTATCGGTGTAAGTATTTTAATAAATTTTCTATGGGAAGAGAGTGTGTGTTTCAACAAAAATGAGAAAAATAAGGGGGGTTTTTTTTGTGAAAATTGTAAGCTGCATTAAAGAACTTGCATCAAAAAAATTCATAAATTCTATGAAATCAATCGTGTTCAGAAATTTAAGCAACGAAAAAAAATTAAGTAATGGTAAATTTAGAACATGATAAAGTATTAAGAATAATTAGGCCATAAATATGCATTTAAGAGTTCGTCTTCTCTCAGAAATTCTTATAATTTGGACATTTTTTTCTTTAATATTGTTTTATAACAACAGTTTTATACATTTTATCTCATTTTTAGAAAATCTACTGTTATCCTAATAATCCTCGTGTCTTCAAGATTCTTATTGCCGCACAATACAATGAACTTGAAGTAGAGGTTGCCGAATTTGAACTTGGTACAGATAACAAGAAACCTGAATATTTGGCAAAATTCCATAATGAGAAGGTAAGCGGAATAAAAAAATTTTTTTTAAAAAAAAAAAAAAAACCAAAAAAACAAAATATAGATAAAAATGTGACGAGTGCCATGGAAATAATTTTGATTTAATCATGACGACATACGCGTTCATATTATGTTGAAATTCATCTATAGAAATTATTTTCGCGTATAATTTTAAACATTATAGGTTCCCGCTTTTGAAAGTACCGAAGGTAACATCTATCTTAATGAATCCGGAGCTATTGCGTATTATGGTAAGAACAAAGTTTTAAAATGTATATTTATATATTTAAAAAGAAATGTTATCAAATCGAATTATTTATTATTATATTTGAATCGATATGATTCTTATTGACACTTGCTATATATGATGAGAAATATTTAAAACAGTTATCCCTGGCTGAAATTTCATATGATCGAAAAAGTTTTTCTGAAGCAATCAAATTAATATAATGACATCAATTAGAGTATAATGTAATTTTATATCGATATCAATCCTAACGATATTTATCTGAATAAAATCTTTAGTTGCTAGTCAAAAAGAAGGTACCCAGCTGTTAGGAAAGGACAAAACAGAAACTTCACAAGTTTTACAATACATCCTCTTTGCCGAAAATGAAATTACTCCTCACGCTAATACTTGGGTTAACCCAATTTTAGGCATAACTTCATATAATAAAGCTGTAATTATACCAACTTTTTTTAATTGACAATCTTATTCACGTATAATAATTAATGATCCTGTTTGCATTTGCATTTATAAGGCCCATAGCCAAGCAGTAGATGGCTTGAAAAAATCCCTGGGTGTTTTGGAAAAAGTCTTGTTAAATAAGACCTATTTGATCGGCGAAAGAATTACATTGGCAGATATTGCTGTTTCAACGTCCCTTTATTTGCCTTTCAAGTTGGTATTGGATGCAGAATTCCGCAAGAACCACCAAAACCTTAGTCGATGGTATATTACACTTATCAACCAACCTGCTTTCAAGAAGGTATTGGGTGAAATTACCCTTGCTGAAGTTGCTGTTGCTTACACTCGTATGTCAAACATAACTATTATTTACTCATTTGTATATTTATATCAGCCATTTCTAATGTTTTCTTTTTTTTAATAAAAAAAAAAATAATTAATTAATTAGCACCAAAGAAAGAAAAGAAAGAACCAAAGAAAGAAACCAAATCCAAGGAAAAAGAAGTTGAAGTCGAAGCTGAAGAGGAAGAAAAGCCTGCTCCTAAACCTAAGAGCAAGCTAGATTCATTGCCTCCTAGTCCATTGAATTTGGAAGAGTGGAAACGGGTTTATTCTAACAATGACACTCGTCCAACAGCCATTACTTGGTTCTGGGAACATTTTGATCCGGCAGGTTATTCTATTTGGCGTGTGGATTATAAGTATAACGAAGAATTAACCAAGGTATTCATGAGTTCTAACCTTATCGGTGGTTTCTTCAATCGATTGGAAAGAGCTCGTAAATACGCATTCGGAAGTTTAGTCGTATTGGGCGAAGGTTAGGATTATGAGACTTTTTAGTCACGCATTTATATTCTTAATTTTTCATTAATCTTTTTTTTCTTTTAATTCACACAGACAATGCAAATTCAATTTCTGGCTACTTTGTAATCCGTGGGCAAGAAATACCAGAAGAAGGTTTGTTTCCCGATTATTTACCATAAAAAATTTCATTTACTTTTGGAAATAAATTGATGTTATTTCATATTTTTTAGTGAGTGATGCTGCGGATTTCGAAAGTTATAACTTCCAAAAGGTAGATCATACAGATGCTACAGTCAAATCAAGTTTCGAAGATTTTATTGTAAGTTATCCCTTTATATGAAATAAATGAAATTTATGAAACCTAAATCATAAATATTAATTATAATTTTATAGGCTTGGGATGGGCATCTTGATGGCAAAAAATTCGCGGATGGTAAAATCTTCAAATAAAAAAAAGGTTCATTAATAATATTTATGACTAGTATCCCGTCGTCTTGCTTAAAAACATCCCTTAAATTGTAGTTTTAATAAACAGATAAAAAATTTTCATAATTCCCTATTATTTTGATGAACTTTCAAGTAACAACTTCATATAGTTTGCTGAAACCTCAATTTATCAATTAATATAATAAAGAGAAAATCCCAATAGCTTTTTAAAAACGCGTTCTTTGTTCCACAGAAATATATTAATTATAGCTAAATTTGGTCAAGGTCTTAATTCTTTGACATAAAGGATCGGCAATTTTGCAGATTATCTGTGATCATTTTTTTTTCTTTTCCGAATAAAAATATCATTATGATTCAAATGATTTCTTTTCCTATGTGTGCATTTCAGAGTGGCATATTAATTTAATTAGTAAAGTTTGAAAATCTAAAAGTTCGCTTGTTATATATACAGCATTTGAAGAAACAATCATGTCTGCTTCAAATTCATTACAAAAAGATGTATCTATCGCTTATTTTGGACCGGAAGGATCATATACGCATCAGGTATGTTTTATCTTTTGTTAATTGCATTTGCGATTTCTTAGTAAATAATGATTCTATAGGTTGCAATTGAAAAATTTGGCGATAGCGTGAGCTACTCCCCCCAGTCCACCATTAATGGTATATGTCTCTCATTATCATATAATGTTCAAAAAATTTTAACTAACATAAGTGTGTGTCTCATCTAAGATGTATTTGATTCTGTTGAAAAGGGACTTGTTACTTATGGAATTGTGCCTTTTGAAAATTCAACATTTGGGTCAGTCATAGCAACTTTAGATAGGTTCATTACCTGTAAAACGCAGATATTTGCCGAGACGTATTTTCAGGTAAATTCACAAATCATGAATCGAGTTAAACTTAAAAAGGTTTGACTAATAAAATTTTTGTATTTTTGAATATAATTTTTGTTTTTGTTTTTGTTATTGAAGATAAATCATTATCTTCTTTCAAAATCCAATGTCTCCTCTTTAAATAAGGTGTATAGTCACCCACAGGTATTTTTTTTTTTTTTTTTTTTAGAGGAAATGGTTCTGAAATACGTTTTGATATTCATGCTCAGAAAATATTTGTTAACTTAGGGATTTGGACAATGTCAAAAGTACCTTGATACACATCTTAAAGGCGTTCAACGCGTGGATGCAATGTCCACAAGCAAGGCCGCAGAAATAGCGGCTTCGGAACCTTACTCGGCGGCAATTGCAAGTATCGTTTGTGCCGAATTATATGGATTGAACATATTAGAGAAGGATATACAAGATGCAAAAAGTAATATAAAATCAAACTTATTTTTTTGTATCGTTTTTTAATCCGATCGCTTTTTTTTTGAATTAACAAAATATCAACATTGTGTAAAGTCAATATCACGCGATTTTTCATCCTTGGTTCTTCATCTGATATACCATCCGATGATGATAAGACTTTCATACTTTTTACAGTGGATCACCGAAAACCTGAGGCGTTATGTGACGCATTAAATAGTTTTAAAAGTCAACATGTTAATCTGATAAAGATTGACTCACGTCCTTCTTTACAGCGACTTTGGCATTATGTATTTTTTATTGAATTACAAGGACATAAAGAAGATGAAGAAGTTCGGAACGCATTAAGTAAATTAAAAGAATGTTGCTTAGACATTAAAATATTAGGAAGTTATCCTAGCCAAAGACCAGAGGTAGTACATTAATTTTAATTACTTGAAAAGGGAAAAACCAAAATCTGTTACACGGGAAATGATTGGCTAATTAGCCTGAATCTGTGAATTTTGTTCGACGCGTTTCTTTATACTCTTTTCGCCTTCGTGATGAATAATATAAGGTAGTAAAAATAATGGATACATGACAATAAAGCCTTAAAGTTTTTATTTATTAAAAGCTAATTCAAATAGAAAAATTTTTATAAAACAATAACAATTTTCGAAGTTTCCAGTGTAGAAATGGTCAATGATTAACCATCTTGATTGTTTAATAGAACTTCCCCGAATAAAAAATTAAGCCTCTCACGAGACATAATGGCGAAGTTTCTTTTAGAAAAAGAAAAGAATGTGGGTAAATTAATCACATTATTTCAACGTCTAGTATATACTGTTAACATTTGTTCCTATAGATTACCGATATTATCCGTCATTTAGTCCAGAACAAGAATTACATCATATACGGCAGTTGGTTATGTCGACGAGGAGAACTCGAACGGTGCGACGAGTGGCAAAGTCAGAAACCACTTAAAAAGTATTTAACGGAAACTCCAAAAATAAACGATTTTAAAAAGCAGAATTGCGAGAAATGCCGTAATAACCTGATCTCGAGTTTTCGTCTGTATAAACAGCAATCAAAAAAATTGGATGTAATACCCAATGACGTAGGTCAAATTGATTACGAAAGGTTTTTTTTTTTAAAAAAAAAATTCTCTTGATTTTTGCTTGCTAAAAATTTGCCTTTATAGAAAAAACCCAACATCGAGATTTTTGTAAACCTAACATGGAACAATCACTATAGAGTATTCGGCGATTGGAAATGTCAGAATTGCAGCAATAGGTGGAGAAGCGCTCATACCTACATATCACTTCAAAAGTTTATAGAGAAAACCCCAGGAAAGCGTTTAAGTCAAGATCATTTTTACATGCAACAATGCAGGAGATGTTTTAATACTAGCCTCATCCTTAATTACAATCCTATAGTACCTAATTTAGGGATTTATGATAACGATAAACCTCATATAATTGGGTTATGTGCAAAGTGTATGAGTGGCAAGTATTGTGTAGATGCTTATAGAGACTAGCAAAATTGATATTTTTGTGATTGTGATGTAAAAAATAAAATATTCTTCTTTTTCTTTTCATTTTTTTTTTTTTTTTTTTTTTTTAAAAAAAAATATTCGTTTGCCAATTAATATTCGAATCGTAAAAGAAAAAAAAAAAATTTTTTTCAATATATATTTTTTTTCAAGTTAAATCAGGCATTGGAGAGATCGTTTCAGAAATTTGCGTATGGTTTGCCAGATGTAAAAAAAATCCAGCATCATTGCTCAATGTATTCATAAAATTTGATACTATTAGACTTCCTCAAAACTTTGAAGCTTTATTGAATTGCCGAATAGTTCAATTTAAAGACGACAATAATAAAGTTCGTGAAGTTTAGGAACATGATTATTATTACATTTGGAAATAGGACGGCTGTAAGTGCAACAGATATATACTTTGCATTCGTCGTTATTTTGTCGATGGTAATAGGGAAATGCAATTTAAAGATTTTTACAGACAATTAGGCAGGGTTGGGAATTTTGTATGTACTATCACCGTATTCAACAAGGCAAACATTTCGTGCAGTAGTAATGAAGTAGCACGAGTAAGTTGTGGTGATGATGATAAGAGCATATTCTTTATTCCAATACTTGCAGGGACACTTGAAGCTCCACTTAGAAGATCAATGAAATCCTGATTTATTACTTCAATTACCTTTACTCAGTCATAATATACAGTTAATATTGCTTATAAAGATGCTGGCTTTGAATGAAGTTTGTCAAAACTACAAATGGATTTCAACGATTTTTTTCAGATATCTGTGGTCATGTTAAGGCTTCTGGAGATTTTTTTTTTTTTTAGAAAAGTATGCTATTTCTGTAACCATTTCTGTTGACACTTTTATGAAATCATATAATTTCATCAATTATATTATATTATATAGATTAATTGATTCAGCATTTTCCACTTCCGCACATGCAAAACTTGGGATTCCTACTATTCCAGAAGCAAATAAAATGTGGGGATTTGGTATGTTAGTATTTAATAATATTGGATATAAATTATATGTACAGTAATTTAATTAGATTTTATAAGCTAATCAATTATACTTTATTAATAAATTTAAATAAAGGTATTGAAATTTATATAATTTATATGGATCATTTGACAAATTTTTTTTTTTATGATTTAATAAATCTAATTTTTTTTATATAACATCCATTTGTTCAAATAAAATATTCAACTATAGTACATTTTATCTCATAGAAAGACATCCTTCTGTTTGGTTGAAATCACACTAAAAATTCCAAAAAAAACATTATTTAAAAATTTGTTACTTTAAAATTTATGTGTATCACATTCTAAATTTAAAAGTCTTATGACTTTTCATTCAATCAAATTGTAATATCATGAATAATATAAAAATTAAATTATGATACTAAAAATTTAAAAAGAGTCTTCTTCCTTTAAAATTATAACAATCAATTATTTTTACCAGAGTTTTATTTATGTACCCTATAACCATACTATTTATTCCTGTTAATACAATGTAATATATTTGTAATATTCTTTTATATTGAATATTAGATCTCAGCTTTAATAAAATTTTAACATATATATTGAGTTTAAATTTATTTAATTTATTTATAATAAAATATAATATTATTAAATAGATAAGATAATAATTTATTGAATTAGTTTAAAAATGAAAATAAAAAATTAAAAAAATTCTTGAAACTTTATTACTGCTGCAAAAATCATTGAATGGTTATATTTCATGTGATAAATATATTGTCTGTTGTTTCTTTTATGTTATCATCATTATCTTTAAGATCATATCATTATTATTTTTAGATAAAATATTTGTATTATTATTTCATTGAAGATATTTCAAGAGTAATTGAACTTTTTCATCAACACTATCTTATATAAACTTTAACATTTATACTTATTTATAGCAAAATACATATTATGATATACATACTCATATACTAAAATGCGTAGCATATGTGAATTTGTTAAAGTAATATGATCAGTATAACATTCAGATAAATCACAGAAATATTCTGAATTAGGCAAATGCGAGTAATTAAATCCTATAAGAAGATGGCTATGTTTTGTTTCATTAAGCTTTAATACTATAATTAGAAATATAATATCCTTTTTTTTTCGTTTGCCTTTTATTGATGGATTTATAAATAGAATAAAAAAAGGGTTTTATTGTAATTAATACAAGCATAAATTTTAGAAAAACAATCTAATAAAAAACATATGCATTTTCATATTAAAAGTAATATATCCTTAGCAATATATTGATATGAGTGGTTTGTCCTAAGACATTTTAATATATTAATATATTAAAATGTCTTAAGACAAACTACTTGTACTAGATTAATATGTTCTAGGACATTATAATCTATTGATTAATATGTTCTAGGATGTTATAATCTATTAATCAATATATTCTAGGATGTTATAATCTATTAATCAATATATCCTAGGACGTTATAATCTATTAATTAATATGTCCTAAAGATGGGTCTACTTTCCCTCTCTGTGACTTATTGGTTAGTAAATATGAATGAGATGCACGTCTATTTGGTTGCCTTTTAAAATACTTGAAGTGGTAAAAAAAGAGGTAACAGGTGGCGCAGTACATTTGTGATTAATTTTTGCCAGCTCTATAATATAACTCTGGCCAATTTTTTGGGCATGCGTTTTGAGGATCCAATTTGGTATTGTGATAGCGTCCTGATAGTGTTATAGAACTCTCCTGAAACTGTCATGAAACTGAAGGGGAGCTAGAGATGTTCTATTAGTTTGCCAGTTTTATGCTAGCTTAGATGCTGAGTTATTACACCCAAAGTTCTGGCTGAAATTATGGAATAGTGTTAGCCAGTATTGTCATAAGACATAGTTAGGATACTGATGGGACACTGATGGGACATTGATGGAATAGATGGGACATTTTGGGACATATATGAAACATAGTTGGGACATATAGTTGGAACATATAGCTGGGACAGCAAATGCTTGGGATATAGGAAATGTACATCACTGGTATTAGCTGACATTAAGTAAATAAATCTTATGCGAAGACTATACTATAGCCGAACACATATCTACTTGGCTTCTTTTACTATTTGCTTACTAGCTTGCTATATGTCTCTTTTTTCGAGGATGAAAAATGTATCAGGGATATTTGAGGAATATTTGAGTGGCATTTAGGGTTTGGGTTAGTGGTTTAGTTGGTTAGAGAATTGGAGGTGCTAACTTTGTATCTTTTTTGGTATACTTCTATATTACGTGAAGGCTATACTATACTGAGTACATACCTAGAATATGTAGTCTTCAGTGTTTATTTTTCAAAAGTAAATTACTGTGCGGATAGCGCACAATTTCTAAAATTATATTGTGCGGCAAATTGAT